TGTGGTAGCTTTATATAACATTCTCTCTATTATTATTACAAAATAAATGTTTTAATTTTTAAAGTGAATGGACCCATTTTTATTTTTAATTTTGAGGTCCTTACTTCTTCACTTACTTATACTAAATATCACTATTCATTGGTCATTTTAAAATAATATCATTAAAGTTATTCTGTTTTTTATATATTACTTGCTTCATATTCATGATGAAAACCTTTCTGCTTACAAATTATCTTTAATTTTTTTTATTTAATAAATTACTTTGTTATTTATTTCTTATCATTTCCTTAGATTAATTATGATCACTGCGACTGAATGTTGCTACTCACTCACCATATGAAATCATCTAATCAAAGTTATCCTATTTTTTATATCACTTTCTTTACATTTCTATGGAAAACCTTTAGGCTTTTTAACCTTTTTGCATAATAAATTGGCTATATATATATATATATATATTTGTGTGTGGGGGATAACATGGGAAGATAAGAACAAGTGATTTGTAATCTACCACACATAAAATTCATTCTAAATAAATTAATTCTTTCAAATCAAATCTGTCTGTTACTTAAAAGTCAATTCAATTAGATCAGGATTTGGTTCTGGACAGCGTAGAAAGATCATAAAAATCATGACCGGTGATGTAAGCCGTTCATAACTCGAATATTTATTTTATTTTTGCCTTTTCCGATGGAAAACACCTCAAAATCATCTTTACAGCCTCGAAAAAACAATTGGGGTGTGGCCAAATTTCCACAGTGATGGGATCAGTTTCGTTTCCGCTTGGTTATGTGTTCTATGGCTGCTGCGCTTATTTGTCAATGGCAACACGTACTAACTAGGCTTGGATTAATATTAAATTTAAATTAAAGAGCATTTTATATTGCTGCTGTTGAAATCGACTCTGATTATTAAATTGATCATTGCAACTTTTCATAACATCGCCATCCGTTTTGGCCTCTACTAGTTGGGGAGCACGGGCCTCACCTTTTATTTTTATAAAAAAATTGGTTGCTGACACTGGTAGCATCCATGATTAATTTGAATTCTGCACAGTTAATTACCCAAATTTATTTTGGAGTGTGCAGTTGTAAAAAAAAAAAAAAAAAAAAAAGATAGTCGCCGTCTTGGTATAAGTCAAGCACCACATTTTTACTGGGGTAAGCCTAGCACACAGTAGGTAACCCAAACACCATCTTTATGATTGGTCTGCTAACACATAGATAAACTGCCCAAGCACCACATGATTTTTTTATAATGATAACATACTTTTAAAATTTAATAATAATTGTCATAACTCAATTTTGGCCATTTGGCTTTTGATTTAATTTTTACAGGGTTTAAAATGAAAAATTAAAAGATCAGAGATTTATTTCGATGAAAAGTGTGATTTGTCAACTTCTGCAAAAATTAAGGATTACAATGTCCCTTTGTTATTATAGTCTTATCCTCAAAATAATCCTTATCTTCTTCAAGATAATCCTTACCTT